AAGATTCTGTCAGAGGTAGTCTCCTACCTCCACGTGCAAAAGATTTCCCTGATTCCGTATTTAGACATCCTCCTGTTCGCCCCTTAAGAGGGGGAACTTTTGCGGAACTTGGTGATAGTCAGGGAGACGCTCGAGAGTCTGGGTTGGCTGATCAATTTGGAGAAATCTTCACTGATTCCATCACGTTACAGGAAATTCCAGGGGTTTCAGATCGATTCAGTAGCACAAAGGTTTTTTTCGTCCCAGAAGAAAAGGTGGCCGGTGTCATAGACCTAGTTCAGGAATCTATAAGTGCGGATCTCCTGTCCTTAAGACAGGTTATGAGAATCCTGGGGGTCATGACTTCAACAATTCCAGCGGTAACATGGGCTCAGTTAAACTCCAGGCACCTTCAGTTTTTTCTTCTTTCCCACTGGGATCATCCAGAAGGATTCCCTGGAGAATCAGGTCTCCCTACCCATAGAGTTGCGTCATTCACTGACTTGGTGGTTGAATCCACTGTCCTTGTCGAAAGGCAGGGCTTGGAGTCAACTGTCTCCCGTGAAAGTTACTACGGATGCGAGCTCGCAGGGGTGGGGATCTCATTCTCTGGGGTTACATGCTCAGGGGTTTTGGGGCCCGGATCTTGTGGATGCATCCTCCAACCTGATGGAACTGTTAGCAGTAAAACAAGCCTTGCTAGCTTTCCAGCCCAGGCTGGAGGGGCGGGAGATTCTAGTTTTCTCGGACAATGCTACGACTGTAGCATATCTAAACTGTTAGGTCCCCCAGTCTCCTGCAAGAGACGGTTCATTTACTTCTGTGGGTGGAGGAGCATTTCGTCTCCATTTCCGCAGTCCACATAAAAGGGACATCCAATGTGGTAGCAGATTATTTGAGTCGAGCATCCATTCTTCAGGGAGAATTGGAGCTTCATCCCGAGGTTTTCTCCCAAATAGCCAAAAGGTGGGGAATGCCCTCGGTCGACCTGTTTGCAACGAGAAAAACACAGGAAAGTGCCTCTCCTTTCTCTTTTCAAGGGAGAGGGATTCAAGCGGGGTAGATGCTCTGTCACAGGACTGGGAGTTCTTCCTAGGCTATGCATTTCCTCCTCTTTTTCTTCTCCCTCGAGTGATTCAGAAATTAAGTTGCTCGGATTGCATGATCATTCTGATTGCTCCATGGTGGCCCAAAAGGATGTGGTTTCCGGAACTTCAGAGAAGAACAGTTCAGCCTCCATGGATCGTGCCCCTCAGGCCGGACCTTCTGCTCCAGGGGCCGGTTTTGCATCACGATCCAAAATTCTTTCACTTGACGGCATGGATGTTGAAAGGAGGATCCTAGAACATAAGTGCTGTTCTCAAGTGGTGGATACACTGCTATCCAGTCGGAAGCTAGTGACAAGGAGGATTTACAGCAAGGTGTGGATAGTGTTTTCCTCATGGTGCGCACAAAAGCAGATCACTAGCTTGTCAGTCCCAGTCATTCTGGACTTCCTTCAGGAGGGTGTGGATAAGAAGTTGGCACTGAGTACCTTGAGGGTGCAAATTTCCACTCTCTCTGTCTTTTTGGACAATAGATTAGCAGAAGATACGTTGATTTAAACGTTTTTTCTGGCAACAGAACGCATTATGCCTTTGTCAAAGCAAGTTTTTCCTCCTTGGTACTTGTCCTTGGTGCTGACTGGTCTTACTACGGATCACTTTGAACCCATTGAAAGCTTGCCTATTAAATGGTTATCTTTGAAGATGGCTTTTTTGTTAGCTGTAACTTCAGCCCAAAGAGCGGGCGATCTCTCTTCATTATCTATTAAGGAGCCTTATATTACCGTTTTTCCGGATCGGGTTGTCCTCAGACCGGACTCATTATATCTGCCTAAGGTGGCCACTACGTTTCATAGGTCCCAGGACATCATTTTGCCTTCTTGTGAAAATCCAAAAACCCCTGGCGAGGAAAGATTCCATTGTCTGGATGTCAGGAGATGCCTGCTGCGATACATGGTCACTAAGGATTTTAGAAAGTCCAGCCAGTTGTTCGTTCTTTTTGGGGGTTGCAAGAAGGGTAGCATGGCTTCAAAAGCCACCATTGCTAGATGGATTAGGCAAGCCATCTCTACGGTGTACAAGAAGGAGGATAGGACTATCCCAACTCCGTTGAAAGCCCATTCAACCAGATCTCTAGCAACTTCCTGGGCGGAAAAGGCCGGAGCATCTGTGGATCAAATCTGCAAGGCTGCCAATGGGTCCAACCAGGACACCTTTGTTAAACACTACAGGGTGGAAGTCCTGTCCCAACAGGATTTGGCCTTTGGCAGAAAAGTTTTGCAGGCAGTGATCCCACCCTAAGGTAGGCTTGTGTATATCTTGCTTGTCTCTCAGGTTGCTGTCCTGGACGATGATTGGAGAAATATACTGTTAGTCTTACCGGTAACGGTATTTCTAAGAATCCTCCAGGACAGCAGGCCTACTTCACACCCTTACTGGATTTTAAATTGTCTAGTGGTTCCCCTCGTGCACTGGTGGAGGTATTCTACTTTAATCTCAACTGAGGGACGAGGGGGGTGGGAGATCTGAAGATCCAATCATCTCTCAGGTTGCTGTCCTGGAAGATTCTTAGAAATACCATAAAGGTGGCCATACACTCTACAACCATCGCAAGACTTTAGTCTTGCGATGGTTGTAAAGGGATTAAAAAAACGTACGATCTGCCTATCTTGGACAGGCAGATCGCACTCTCGATCATCGCAAGCCCGCCCCCCTGAGGGGCGGGCTTCCGATGACCGCAATGCTGAACGGGCAGTGTGCGCGTGCGCACACCGGCCCGTTCAGCATTTATCTTCCGAGCACCGTTCTAACCAGCCGAGAATCGTACGATTCCCGGCTGGTTTTCGAACATGCTGGTTCGACAGAAGACGTGCGACCGTACAGTAGAAACGGTCGCACGTCTCCGTTCACACTGCTCGATTATTGTACGAAAACCCGATCGCATACGATTATCGTACGATAATCGTGCAGTGTATGGGCACCTTTTCTGGTAAGACTAACCGTAGATTTTGGTTTGCTACTGGCTTTACCTGACAGACCCTTTAAGACATTTTGTTTGTAAATGATAAGAATTGCACTCCTGTTTACCAGTCACGTGTACATGCATCTCCTTCAATGTTAACCCCTTCGTGACTGACGACGTACAGTGTACGTCGCCAGCATAAGTGCACGTGAAATGTATCTTATGGCTGTTCTTGGCTTTAAAAGGTTTCTGTATTACAGTATTAAGTCATAACTCATCGTGTTGCAATGCTTGTTGAGTTTTAAACTGCTGTGTACTTCATATTTTATATGCAGAGAGAGTATTTTAACATAGATTTTTTTTAGAGATCACAGACGACTGCTCAGAGAACATTATTTTTATTAGGTTGCTCATGACTCATTTGGAAACATAATTTTCTTCATTTGAAGCAGTAGTCCTGAACTGACATAAATAGACTCTTCAAAAACTCCAGTTGTCTGATGCATATGGTTCTCCATAAACTGGCTCGCCACATTATTTCTTCAGCATGGCCAGCTCCGTGTACAGTTGTAGAGAGAAGTGTTAACAAGCAGAAAGAAACATCGATGACAGAGACATGCACCATCTCTTCTGCCATTAAATAAACGCCTGCCTGTCAGCACTTTTCATCATTTGGGCTTAGCGTTCACTTTATGCAATTACTTATATGGTGGGTGTATTCTTTTAATTTTTTTTATAATATTTGTTTTGCTAACAACCTTTACTGCTGATTTTTGGGCGCACATGGAAAAAAAATTGAAGTGCAACTACAGTAAGTACTTTAAGCAACTCACAGCCGGCTGTTGTAATCAAGCGGCCGGCAGCTTCCTGGATGTAACAGGCCGTCAAGACATCCTGTTGGCCCCGCCCACTATAGAGCCGACGGATCGCTTGTATAAGGTGCTGATCAGTGGAGCGAGCCCGGGACCAGCATGCTGGCTCTGTGACAGGGGATCGGAGGGAGATCAGTACACTATCTTATCTGGACATTCTTTTCAGGTTAAGAGTCTTCAACAGATGAAACAGACTGTCTTATAGCTAGCTGCATGCGCAGCTGGTTGAAGTTTAAAGTAGAATTATGGGGTGCGTGAAATACACTCATCCCCATAATTAGAGCTGAGGTGTGACATTAGAGCCGACTTGTGACAGCTTCATTGATCAAAAACATACCGCCGATCGCTCAGTTCCCGATCATCTCCCTGAAGAGAGTAGGGACTGTCGGTCATCACGCCCTGCAGGGATTCCCCCCTCTAGTCTCTGTTCCTCCAGTGCTGAGGGATGGATGGGGGCAGGCACAGCTGGCAGGTAAGCAGAGCCAGTTGTCACTCAGGCAGCTGTGTGGATCCTGACAATATTGTTGCAGCTCTGCACTGTTAGCATGTAGTGGGCAATAGGCCGCTATATGCAGAGTTTTCGGTCACAGGAGGACATTAGTATATGTGCTCCTGTGGCCCTGAAGAGAATTAAAGCCAAAAAAGGTTGGGCCATAGTTCTCTTTTTTTTTAATGATCTTTTGTTTGACTTTGGATTATAATGTTGCTCATTTTTAATTTTACTTCATTCATCTAACGTGTTAAAAGTGGAGACGATTATAGTAGAGCATTTATTCTTTAGGGGGGATCTTTCTGGTTCTTTGTTCTGATGTTGTAATGGCACATAATTTCACAGCTACTTATTTTGGCATTTGTTGAATGTTCATAAAATTATTAGAAGTCTGATCACTGCGTTGTTTAATTATAAACTGAGTAAGCTAGGAAGTCTTTAACAATTCTCATGTAGTTGTGCTGTGTGAGCTGTCTTCATAAGCATTTTACATGTTTTACTTCAGCCAAACATCTTGACAAGCATAACTTAAAAGATTTTAGGTTCATGCTCTTGCAGTGCCAGGGCAGACTGCCATACAAGTGGCCCGTAGTTTGTTATTGTCAGGACTAATAACATCTGGGTTTGTTACATTCCTTTTCCCTGTTTTGCAGCTGCTCACATTGTCCCTGTATCGGAAATAGTTTCAGTTGGAGAAGCGGAAATTGATGAGAAGTACTATGGCATGCAGTGGAAGCACATGTGTAAACCTCATGCATTTACTGGTATAGACTTTTCTTGGCCTTTAAGAATCGAACCTTGCAATTGAACAATCTGTATGAAAATGATATATGCAGTGGTTTTTACATGTTAAAACCCAGTAGCATCTACTGGAATTTACTGAAAAAAAGGAAAATTAAGTAAACGTGGGTAGAAAATGATAGCAGGTGAAGGTCAACTACATATGCTAAGACACGATATGTTAGAGAAATCGTAAATGGCCTGTCATAGCTTAAGGAGAAACCCCACCTTCATCTGAAAGTAGACCTTTACCCAATTTCACTAAAAATCACCACATACTTCTAGATAATTGTGAGATTTTTATTCTTTGCATACCTTATTTTTCTTAACCTTCCTATACTTCTCACCATTTGGCTATGTTCACGAAGGGCAGATGAATCCATCTCCCTTTGCTTCATGAAACGCGTGAACTCTCATGTTCTAGGACAGGGGTAGGCAACCTTGGCTCTGCAGCTGTGCTGAAACTTCAAATCCCATAAGGCATTGCAAGCCACAGGCATGACTTCCTGAGGCAGAAGCATAATGGGATTTGTAGTTTCAGCACAGCTGGAGAGCCAAGGTTTCCTACCCCTGTTCTAGGAGGCAGACCTAATCATTTAAGGGGGGAAAATGCCTTTCCCTGAGATATTGGGAGATTTTTAAATTTACAGAAGAGATTTTCCAGTAAGGCACTGGTCATGTAGCCTTCCCAGGATCCCCTCTGAGGCCAGGGCTACACCACTAGTGCCTTAGTCAACCAGGAAGTGGGAAAACAGTAATTGTAAGTAAAAGCAAAAACTAATGAATGTAGGATGAGTTCATATCCGCATGCAGAGCGGTATGCTGATGTGATTTTTATTGAAAGGTGGTAAAGCTCCAGTTTAATTATTGCTTCATACCTTTTCACCATTCTGTTTTGTGCCCCCTTATCTACATTTGCAACGCTATACATGGGCAAGAATATATACTTGCCTTACACCCCATATTCTCACTGGAAAGGATGATGTCACCACCCATGTGATGAGATGCTAGGAGCCATGAGTATGTTGAATGTCACTAGAAGATGCTCCAGGGTAGTGGACAAGTGACTTGTTACGAGATTTGGCATCCTCAGCTCTTCCAGGATCTCTCTGAAAGTTTTGTGACATCATCCTTAGTCTATGTGCCGTGGGCTAAAGTCACTGTTTTGCTTTCCGCTGAGATCCGTGGGTTGCGACCCAAAAGTGGGTCTCCGCTTGCCTTCCACTACGTTAGGTGAGAGGCTCCTCAGCCTCCCCCGAGCGCAGCACTGTCAGTCCTCATGCCAGGCAGCCATTCAAAATATGCTTCCCGGTGCTGAGTGTCAGCTTGAGGTAGGATGGAATGGGGCTATGGCGGCGAGGGAGCTCCATCCATCCATCCATCCATCCATACATGCATTGCTTACAGCTCCCTCACGTGTCCTGTAGAGGTGCCTGGCCTGGAGTGACATCACATTCGGGCTCCTGACAACTCTACAAGGCATGCAAGGGAGCTGTACCATAATGCACATATGGATGGAGCTCCGTCACAGCACAGCAGCCCACACTGGACCCCAGACTGAGGATCCATTCCAGTTCACGTAAGTTACGGAGACTGAGTGGAGCTTTAAAAAAAATATATATATATAAAATTTATTTTTCGGCTGGTGTATGTGAGATTGTATCTGTGCTTGTCAGTGTTTTTGAGGGCCCGTTCACACTAATACAGTGCGTTAATTGCACAGTTACATACGATTAACTCACTATACCGCGTAATCGCGTAACTTAATGACCAAGGATAAATGTGGGCCCTGAGAAGCACTGGCATAGAACATGTTAAACAACGTTAACTTTCTAGGTATTTGTTTCCTAACATTTCATCCAATTTTATTCATGCTGTGGCTCTCATGTGAACCATGCACATTTAGTTTTCATTATAACCTCAAACTTAATATGTTAGGCATGACAGTAATATGCTTGGCCATCTATGGGGCCTTTGCGATCAGATATGACATGTGCATTGATCTCTAGAAACTTCAAACCACATGTCACTTTGTATGCGCAGATCAGTGTCCAATTGAGGAAATGTTTCTGTTTTGATTTGTACATGTTTGTCAGTTATCTATGTGCTTATTTTCTTCCTACATCGACCTAAATGCTGTGATACGATTTTCATACGTAAAGCATATTTTTCTATCCCTTTTCTAGTGCTTATAACATTTTCATATTGCCGTTTTCTGTGTTTTAGTGCACTATGTACAGAGAATGAAGAAGCATCGCTGGCGGTGCAAAGCAGTGACCTTCTGGTGCAGTGATGAACTTCTGTGTTGCCACTGGTTACAAGCACTTAATGATCTTCTGGAGCAACAGAGTATGTTCAATGTTTGATTGTGGTATAAAAAGAAAACATTTTTGTTTGATTTGTATCCGAATAGTACAACTTAAAAATGCACAGCTTTGTTTTCTTGAAAACTTATTGAGAAAAAAAAAAGTGATGACAGAAGCAGGCGTGGCTGGACTTCAAAAATAACCTAAATGTTCAGTAATATAATAATGCAGGCATACTTATGAAAGATTTATGTCAGCCCTCTCATTTAGCGTTACTTACTTTGTCTGAGCTTAGCACTTCAGCTTCAGGTTGCCACAAGTCTTGCCTGACTTGTCAACCGCCTGACTCCACACACTGGGTGTGGAAGGGGTGATTCATTTAAACTGGAGCAGACTGCAAATCTGGAAGAGTTGCCAAATGAAAGAGAAACTGATTGGTTGCAATGGGCAGCTACTCCCACATATTCTTGGCTTAAAAGCCTGCGTTTTGCAGGAATTGGCTCTTTTTACATGTAAATGGCAATAATGTAATTGATGGACAAGATAAAGCTGTGGGTAAAGTAGAAAATTCTTACTGAGGAGGAACCCCAGGTTTGCAAATTTGATTAGCTGGACCCATAATAGGGTAAAATAATCATAAATGTATCCACAGCCAGAATATATTTTAAGAAAATGTTTTGTTTCCTTGCAGCTTGTAGGCCAAAGCACTTACTAGTTTATATAAACCCATACGGTGGAAAGAAGAAAGGAAGGCAGATATATGAGAAGAAAGTGGCTCCATTGTTTAGTCTTGCCTCTATCACTACAGATGTCATTGGTAAGAATCGCATCTAAAACCCTGGCCATAGACATTAAAGAATGTGTGGTACATTAGGTATTGGCCATGTTTAAAATGCAGTTAATTCTTATACGAAACTGGTCATGAGGGGAAACATGTTGGCTGCCAGAGCTTGCCTCACCTCCTAAAAATGCTAGTTGTCTGTCTGCCATGCTTGTCCTCTGTTTCAGTGAAAGGACAGAGAAAAAAAAAACACTTCTCTGGTACAACTGGACATGGACTGCCAGAAACACTCTGGTCCAGTCAGTCTTCTGTACTTGCGGGTACTGACAGTTCAGTTCTGAACACCTAGTCAGTGTGCACTTGCCCTTTCCTTGTCCAGTCTTTAGGTTGAAGGTGGGTCCTTGATTAAGTTGTACTGCTTTACAGCACTGGAGGCCCGTGGGATTGGCTGTGCCTGGATCACAGGTCTGAATGAATATAAATTTAAACAGGAGAGGCAGTACACAAATGGTTTTTTTAAGGGCTTGTTCACACCATGTCCGGACCAAAACAGTTTTTGTCTACACCTGAAATGCATTCCAATGTATTCCTATGGTATTTCTGGGCTCTCTTCTCATCCTCGCAGTCCGTTCTGGTGCAGAGAAAAAAAAAATGCTACATGCACTATTTTTTCTTCTGGTCTGGAACGCACTAAGCCACACATAAACACATACAAGCGCATGGTCCTGATGGTGTGAACAAGCCCTCGCTGTGTTTTTAATCATTTTTCTGAAGTTTGGCTTGAAGTTTAAATTGAGAGGACTGAGTTAGACTGGTAGGACTTTTCTCCTATTAAATGAGTTACGACAGCTGTATGTTCTTTTTAACTTTAAGGGCTTGTTCACACCAAATCACACCAAATATGAGTTTCTGCATATGCAGTACGTTTTGCCACGTTCCGGTCCGGTTTTTTGTTTTTAGCCTTAAATGGGCTTTCAGTGTGTTCCAGGCTGTTTGCATACTGCTTTCATGTGCTTTGGTGCGTTCCAGAGCAGAAAAAATAGGGCATGCTGCAGTTTTTCCACATGCTCTGGAACTGAGCGCTGTGGTCTGAACTAGAGCCCAAAATACCATTTGGAATACATTGGATGCATTTTTTATGTGTTCAGTAAATGCTCTGCTCTGTATCTGCCCCGCACTTGGCGTGAACAAGCCCTTAGGCTTTTTCTCTGTACACTGGGCTGGTTCACACCACTTCCAGAGCTGCTGGAACACACTGGATCGCATTAGAAAATCCTCTCTGCTTTGTTTTTTGTCGGGAAGCACTGCCTTTTTCTCCTGTTCATATACCAGGCACTTTTGTTCATAGACAAAGATATCAAACATGTTTAGTTGTCCTAACTGGAAATGTAAAATATTCTTCTATATTTTGAGCATTGCATCTAACTGAAGGTCTGTATCAAATACTTGATTTAATAGTATTACATTTTCTATCTTGTCCATACTGTTTAAGGATTTTGAAAATGGAATACATTTATCGATTTCTGCTAATGTTGGTATCTCTGGAGAAGGGCTCTTACTAGCTTATGAATAATTGGTTAAGTTACCGCTCAAATGTGTCGGAGCACCATTTCCAGCTAAGAGCATTTTGTAATTGTCTTGATCAATGATATAACCACAAACAGATGCCAAATCACTTATTTTTATCTTTCATCATTGCATGGGGGACATGTATTAAATCTGGAACCGTAGTAATTAAAGGGTTATTAAACCCTTGCATGTTTTTGCAAATATCTATTGCTAGCAAGCAGTGTGTATGTATATATACATATATATATATATATATATAATCACACATACACAAAAAAAAGAAAAACCCTTTTGAAAGGGTTAATACTTGTGTCTCTGCCGCGCACTCCCGTCCGAACATCTGAAAACTTCTTGGGCGGGCTCATGCGCAGTTCAGATGTTTGGCCGGGAGACGAGAGACACAAGGTAAGTATATGGAGCAGCGTGCACCCACGCAGACTCTGTGGGACATAAGAGAAGAGGACAGAGGAGTCGGCGTTGGATCGGAGACCCGCACCAACGCTGGAGGGACAGCTAAAAACGACAGCAAGGAAGAAGATCGGATTAAGAGACATCATTTAAGGCAAGTCCTTACTTTAGTAATGTGGGGGGACTTTTGCCCTTAATGTCACTTTAAGGGGGGTTATCGGGTTAAATTGTATTTTCCCTGCTTTCTGCATTAACTCTCATTATCATAGATATGATAACCCTCACCAGTCTCTTTTATAAGGCACTGCCTACCCCCCAATGTATAAAAAAATCTAAGGAATACTCACCACCTGTGCAGGAACCTACTCCAATTTATGGATGCCCATGCATTTGGGTATCTGATTTCTACTCAAGGGAAGAATCAGACTTTGACTTATGCATCATTTCAGCAGAGATCAGGCAACCACTATGCCATATTTTAGTTGCATCTTTTTTGTCACCTGCCTGCTCAGTTTGTAGTGAATTGGCAATATAATGATTCTGTTAAAGTAACCAATGAACAAACTGATGGCAGAGTGGCAACACAAAAGCTTTAAAGCTGAAAATCAGGAGCAATCTTTGCTTATTAATCGTAGCAATGTAAATCATAAGACTGGCTAAACGGATGTACTAATCATTTGGCGGGTAAACAGTTAACCTGTATTCTCATCATATGTGCAAGTCTTCTTAAAGTTGCACTCCCAAAAAGTGTTAAGCTTCTAACCATAAAATGTTATCCAGAATACCTTTTTGATTTTGAGTGTTAGCGCCATGGCCTTGCAGTTCTGCAGCCCTGGATCCAGTTTTTAACTATGACCCCATCTGTATAATTTATATCATCTGCATAGTTTATACCTTCTCTGTGTTTTTGTGCATTTCCTCTGGGTGTACTAAATGATGTCATTTGGTGTGGGTTTTTTTCCTTCGATTTTTTTTTTCAAGATTTCCCAAAAAAACACAATTAAAATTTTACAAACATTTATTAGCACTATACAGTTTTATCTTTTAGATTTACTAGGAATTTGTCATGTTAGTATCACCGTTTATTTTATTGGTCCCTGTGCTGTATGTATGCTTTTGAGGTATTTTTTGAGTGGTGTATGTGAAAAATTATATAATAAAAACAGGAAAATGTAAAACTGTTTTAAAGTGGAGATCAGAGCCTGGCAGCGATGAAAAGTTAAATTACATCGTTTCATTACCTTGAATATCTATCTATCTAATAAGATTTAAACCTGTAAAAAAAAAAAAAAAAATCAAGTTTTTTTTTTTTCTTCAAGTGTTTAATGGGGAATTTATAAGCTATAATCTTTGCTTCATAGATTGTTATACACATGAGGTTCACACTTGAATAGTTCTGATTTAGTTACTTATGAAAATTGCTAAATTAATTTCAGCATCCTCCAGTGTCAACTGATAAATGTCATTTACCACTAAATTGTTTCTTCTGTGCTGCAACCTTTTATTTTCTTCACAGTGACAGAATATGCAAACCATGCTAGAGATAATCTTTATGAAGTCAATCTGGATAAATATGATGGGTGGGTATTATATGGCAAAAAAATGTGTGTCTGTTTCTTTTGAATAGATTATTATTGTAAGGTAAAATAATGAATGCAGATGATTAAAAAAAAGTCTTACATCTCTGTGAACTGTCTGTTAAAACTTTTATATTGCTCTCCTAAACTTCATTTTACAAGATGTTTGTTTTGAGTAAAATAACTATTTGCATAGAGCCTCAGATTTAAAAAGAAGAAAGTAGGCGTGTTCAACTTTACAATCAAGAAAAAATGATCTACAAAAAATGTCTACAAACTGATAATGGGTTCTTCTACTTGCATACAGTTTGTACACATGATAGAAGTGGAGGGGGTGTAACAAGAACTGCATAATTATGTAGCCAACAAAACCATTGGGTATTTATTACTTAGACTTATTCTCCACCTCTCGTCTGAAGTTTAACCACCCATAATGTATGTCCATTATCTTGACGTCTACTATGTACAACTGCCAAATGTCCCGCGGCTGACTATTAAAGATAAATTAATTCCTGTTTGCTCTGATAGTCTTTGTATGGAACAACACTTTAAAACTATAACTCCAATTTAATTTTGGATATAGATTCTGATATCTTTCACATTCTGCCCAAAACATAACATTGTTTTGGCTGAAGTTCTGCCGTAAAAACTTGCAAATAATGGCCAGAAATAAGTTTGTGGATGTCTTTTGACTTCTTTCTCCTAGCAGTGGCCACACTGTTTTTGGACCTAAATAGAGAACATTCAAGGATGCCTGCCTGATGCATGTTCTTTAATGTCTCTTCTTCAGACCAAAACCGAAAATAAAACATTTGTCTGGCCGAAACTGAATTTTTTTTTCTAACCTTCTTAAAAAATGTTTTTAAATATTTTATTTCATTTTCTTTACTGTCAGGGGGCTCTGGGGAAATATTAGGGGTCTAAGCAGACCCCTGCTATTTCCCTTTTAAAATGGAAAAAGAGATTGAGGACACAGAGTCCTAAATCTTTTTTTTTTTTTTTTTTCTGCAGTCCCTGCTATGAATGAACAGGAAGCCTCTATACTGAGTGCACCTGTCCATTCATAAACTGTGGAGATAGATACTATGTCCAGAATCATGAATGAACAGGAAGTCATTTGGAGCACTAGTCATAATTGGAGACACAGTAAGCATACTATGTCCTCAATTATTTACAAACACTCAGCGATTAGCTGATCGCTGAGTCCTTGTAACCAGCCTCCATCCCACGTCTGAGTGTGGTGGGGAGGAGAGCGCTGTCAGTGTTATCACAGAAGGCTGAGTTCTCCACCCTGCCCCGCTCAGCCTCCTGAAAGTTTCTCTCCTCCCCGCTGAGCGCTGCTCTGTGTCAGAGTGGACACAGAGCAACGCCCAGCGAGGAGAGAAACTAGGAATTCACCAAATTTTTGGCCACAAAATGATACTTTCACAATTTTGCTCAAATTACCTTTTTCACACGAAATGTTTTGGCAGTCGAAATTTCGGTGCATCCCTATTTTATTTTTAAAATTCTTTTCAGATAAATATTTCCTAACCACGTTTCTATGCATTAGAGAAATCATATTATACTTCAGCCTTGATCAAAGGGGAGTTTGTGAACTCCACAGAACTTTTTTGCTCTTTTTACATTGATCATCTTTCAATTAAATATTCTGCACTCTCTGAACCACCTTACTGAAGCAATTTGGCTTAGTAGATGAGGCGGTCACTTACATTTTTGGACATAATTCAAGATCAAATGCCTGGTACACATGCACAGCCATAGGTCAGTGTTTGGGCGGTTCATACTCTGTTTGTCCAAGTGACCATTGTTACTTAGAGTGAGGCAAATCCAAAATTTGAGTTGGTCATGGAAACAGGAATAGATTGAAAGTCTTATATTAGGGATTTTTGTTGTTGTGACAAGTGTCCTAGAGTATTTTCCTCACTTTTGAGGTATTTCCTCTTACTTCCTATTATACCTAGGTGACAAGAAGTGAAAGCAAATCTGAGAAGATTGAATAGGGCCAAGGTGGTAAAAATCTACAATTAACCCAATTTTGGAGATCTTTTGCATCACTTTCAAACAAATTTAGGTTGAAAGAAAAGAAGACAATAGTTTGAAAACGTTGGATCTTTTTTGCGTATAGAGACAAGTGTACTTTCTTTCTGATGATCACCATTTATCAGTATAAAAAGTCTGATATTTTTAATTTGATTGCATTGAAAAGCACAGAAAAAATGTTTTAGCAGGCTAAAAATAATCCCAAACCTAGTTGAAGAAAAAGGTTATATCTGGGATTTGTTTAGCTGGACTAGTCATTGACCACTTCCCGGCCGCCCGTCGTAAAAAAACGGCCGGCCAGGAGCTCTCTAGATCTGAGCGGGCATCTTTAGACGTCCGCTCAGCCACGCCCCCTCATGCCCGTTATTTGAAAACAGGCAGCGATGTCCGTTAATATACAAGCGATCCGCCGGCTGTAGAGCCGGCGGATCGCTTGTATGAGGTCCTGTGGTGTGCACTCCCCCCTCCCGCTATCGAGCTGGTCCCAGGCTCCGCTGTGCCCAGTGCGAGCCTAGGACCAGCATACGCCCTCTGTCACAGGGGATCAGAGGGAGCTCGGTACACGAGCTCCCTCCGGTCCCCTCTCCGCTGTCAGAATGCGGAACTGATGTATATTACATCACGTCTGCATTCTTGTGTCACTCTCCAGCTTCAGATAATGGAGAGAAGCTGATGAAGCAGATCTTTGCTTCATCAGCTTCTTCAGGGGGGTCCTAGATAACATTAGGGGCCTTGGAGACCCCTGATGTCTCCATAAAGAGCATAGGTTTTCTAACCCCCCTATGTGATAGCAATAAAGTTAAGTGGAAAAAAAAATTTTAAGTTTCCCCCCCCAAAAATGTAAAGTTACACATAAAAAAGAATTACATTTTATTTATTTTTTAAAAAGTCCCCCCCATACATACACGCATGCAAACAGCCGTCGGATGCGCATACGTGCGAAAACTACGATTTCGCCCATTACGCCGCACATGTTTACATATCGTCGCGAACAACGGAATGAGAGCAATAGTTCTAGGGCCATCAATCACTGATAACACTAAACTGATGAGCTATTAAAGCTTTAGGTATGGTAGTTTTTTGCAATTTCGCAGGTGTGTGCAATTTTAAAGCATGACATGTTTGGTGTCTATTTACCCGACTTCACCCCGTCTTTTATATTTTACCAAACATATGGGTAAGAATCATTGTTTCCTAACATAATGGAAAAATGGCCTGGCCAGGAAAGGGGTCTAAACACCTGGTCTTGAAGTGGTTAACTAACCAAGTTTGTTTTGGTTCTAAAAAAATCTTTCGGTTTACTTAAAAATAAGTCTTCCCATACATTATGACAAGAAATGAACCTTCGAAGTACGAAATCATAAAAGTATTCTTGCTACACATTTATGCCGTTTCTTGTCATATGTTTGTGACACTGTTAGATGAAAACTAAGAATGCACCGATATATCGGCCGCCTAAACTTATCTGCCGAAAATGGCACTTTTGGCTAAATGCCGAAAGTACCATTTTTCTGACGATACAGCGGCGCATCCCGGCTTTTTTTCCTCCACGCTAGGACAAAGAGAAACTGACAGCCAGCCGAGCACTGCGGGAGGAGAGCGCTGTGAGCGGCCGGCATCTCTCCTCCCATACCGCTCAGCCTCCTGTCAAAGTCTGCCAGAGCGGTGTGGGCGGAGAAAGCCAGTGCTGTCACAGGAGGCTGAGCGCACCACTCGCTCAGCCTCCTGTGACAGCTGTCAGGATGGAGAGCAGGTACAAACACTCAGTGATCGCTGAGTGTATGTAGATAATTGAGGACAGAGTATGGTTACTATATACTCAATTATGAATGAATGGGAACTGATCTACATCCACTCCTGTTCATTCATAGTTGTAGTTTATGGTAAACATACTCTGTCCTCATGCTATGAATGAACAGGAACACTCATAGAGGATTCCTGTTCATTTATAACCGGGGGATACAGAAAAAGAGATTGAGGGCTCTGTGTCCTCAATCTCTTTTTCTGTTTTAGACCCCTAATATTTCCCCGAAGCCCCTAAAAGATTTGGGGGGATTTGTATCATTTGAATTACATAAGATGCTAAATAATATTTATTGTGATACAAACAAGAAAAAAATCCCAGAAAACTTGAGCATACATATTTATAATACAGTGTAGAGCACCTTTTGTAGCAATTACAGCTGCATGTCTCTTGGGGTACGTCTCTAAGTTTGGCACATCCTGTGATTTTGGCCGATTCTTCAAGGCAAAACTGCTCTGGTGTACAGTAATCTTTTAAGTAATGCCACAGATTCTCAATTGGATTGAGGTCTGGGCTTTTACTAGGCCATTCCAAGACATTTAAATGTTTCCCCTTAAACCGCTTGAGTAGTAGTAGTGCTTTAGCAGCATGTTTGGGGTCATGTCCTGCTGGAAGGTGAACTTCCATCCCAGTCTCAAACCTCTGGTAGACTGAAACAGGTTTCCCTCAATAAGTTCTCTGTATTTAACACCATCCATCAGTCCTTTAATTCTGACCAGTTTGCCAGTTCCTGCCGATGAAAAAACATTCTCACAGCAGGTTGCTGCCACCACCATGCTTCACTGTGGGTATGGTGTTCTCGGGATGATGAGAGGTCTTGGGTTTGCGCCAGACATAGTGTTTTCCTTGAAGGCTAAAAAGCTAAATTTTAGTCTCATCTGACAAGAGTACCTTCTTCCATATGTAATCTCCCACAAATGCTTTTCGGCGAGCAGCAAACCTGTTTGCTTATTTTTTTCTGTAAGCAATTGATTTTTCTGGCCACTCTTCCTTGAATGGCAGCTCTGTGGAGTGTATGGCATGTTTTTTGAAAATTTTACCTTTTTTGCTTTTTTAATGAAAAAAACATTCATATTTACTTCCAGGAAATGGTTACCCTCAAAGATCCAATGAAAGGGCGTTAAATGCTCTCCTACTATTTATTGTCGCAAATTCATTTTTTAAACGTTAGATTTTTGGCTCGAACAACTGCAAAGCCAGCTGGTACCATTTTTTTTTTTATCAGGGGCCGCCGACCGGTACCACTCCATTGCCTGTTAGGAACTAGGCCACAGCTGCCTCCTGTCGGATCACTCCACTCATTCACAGTATAGTGGCGAAAAGATCTCTTCAGTTTTGATGTCTGAGCCTAGCTGAGGAGAAGGAGACTGGGAGTTGGCAAACGTGTAACAGGTGGAAGCCTGCCAGAGATTTGTGTGTGTGGCCCTTAAGTTAGTGAGTGCTCAGCAATGTAAGGGATAGTAACCTATAGGCATGCAATAATACAGATATTGGGCATTTTCACAAGTACTCATACTTGTGAAATTGCCCCATACCAAAAACCCCCAAAATTCCTAGAAATTTTCTTCCACCAAACCGGTTCCTGGTGCCAAAAAGGCTGGGGATCGCTGCTTTTATAGGTCAGATCTTGGAATCTCTTCTGGGGGTGGTGCAGATAGTAATAAAGCTATAAAAACGTCTTATGAATTCCAAAAAGCGTGAACTAATTGAGGACTATGGGTTGGTGTCCTGTTTTGAGACAGATTGTTTTTCACACTTTAGAATCTGGTATCATTTTAAAGAGACTGGCCAAAAAAGGGGGTTTCTTGACCTGAGCTAGAAAAATAAAAGTGTTTTTCTAGCTCAAGAATCCAGTAAAAATGATTCGTTGTTCAGTTAATTAGTTCATTAGTTATTCAGCAAGGAAAGGGTTAAAGGATTCTTCGTTTCCCACAAGTCTAAATAATATGAAGCCCACAAGTCTAAATAATATTAAAAAGGTCTTGTCTTGTGGGGAAAATATGAGCCTATTTTCTGTAATAGCAACAGCTATATCCAACCCCTACTTTTACAACTTGTGATACACTTGTATTTTTGAATGAGGTCTGTCCTGTACAGCTATTACTATTATTCTAGACCTTTGGGATTCTTACAGATTCCATTCTGTCAGGATTCTGAACAGTTTCTGTGGTTAACCATAAGGTGTGAGTTAAGGAGGGATATTTACATTTTAAAGCCTGGCCTTTCCTCAGACCCTTGCATGGTCATGAAACTATTTGAAAAAGCTTTAGCAGTTCTTTTGTCAGAGGTCATTTGAGTTTTTTGCCTTGTTTGAATCCGCTGCTGATTTTGGCGCACCTTTCGAGGAATATTCCTTATTGGGCCTCTAGAAAACTTTGTTGAGAAGGTCTGCTACCTTTTATTTCTTTGATATTTTAAAATATTCACTTTTATGTTTTGCATTTGCTCTTTAATACATGTATATAATGTCTTCTGTGGCCTTTTTTTAAGCGAATAGTTTAGTTGCTTTTTGCTGCTATTAATGATGAAATGTACTCCCTCTTGCACTTTGGTACCCTTATCAAATGTTTTTTCACTGATAACACTGCTATCCCTTATTAGTCAGCTCTGCGCCCCCCTCCCCTTTTACTTTCATACACAGCACAATTTCTTTCCCGAGGTCTTGACTTATTGCAACAAACTCAAAATATAATAAATACCACTGAAATCCTATTGCTCTGTAAGGCTAAGGTTTTATTAGTAATATGTCAAAGACTGAGATTTATCTGATGTGTTGACTTGAGCGTATAGTTCTATTGAAGCACAATTTTTTTTGCCTAAGAGCTGCACAGACTAATTCTTTCTTGAGAAACATATGCCCTTGGAATTACATTAAACTTTTCATGTGGGCAGTGATAGAAATAGGGCTGCTGCTGCACAGCGTTTTGATCCATTGCTGCTTTTACTACAAGCTTAGTAAAAGTGGATTTAACATACAGTAGCTTGAGCTGGGCAGTGTTCCCAGTTTCTCCGTGCAGAACGGGGAATAAATGAAACTTGACAATTTTCTCTACCCCCCTCAACAAGTGCTACTATTTTGGGAATGTAAAGTATGATCGAACATCCTATTCAACTATGGAGTTTTCATATAACACTTGGATATTGGATTGTTGGATTTTTTTGCAATGGTATTTTTCTTTACATGGCGGCAGGTTAGGTGTCTTCTCCTTCCTTTTTTTTTTTTTTTAAATTGTCATACTCTCTTAATTCCATAGTACATTTATTTTCAGATGTAGGACAAACACATAATCTTTAAGCATGTTTGTTAAAATATTAACTCATAAATGAAGAACACATCATTTAATGCAAACATGAAAGTATTAAACAAAGTTATGATTCTTTATCTGGACACTACATTGCATTTCAGCATCTACTTTCATAAAGGATTACGCATTTAGATATTTTTGACTAAAGATAGTCTTAGATTACATATGTACTCATGGCTGCCTGGTGCACACAGAGGAGTGCAAGGCTCTTTCCACCATTATTTTCTATTGCTATGAAGAGAGGAATAGGGGGAAGAGCAGAACAGCAAACATTGCTTATCACGGGGATGGAACAGTAACAGAAATAGTTTTTTTAAATCTGTTCCTGTTCAACTAATAGTTCTTCAACAAGTTCAGTGGGCTGGCAGTCATATGCAGCTTCTTAGATGCATTGTATGTATCCAACTAATAGTACAAAAAGCTAAGCTCAAACTCCATTTATGGCTTGATGACATGGTGTTTTTCTTTGTTTTTAGGTTCCACAGACTGTGTTTGTTTTGCTACCGTGGGAATCAATGATCCAGTAACTTCAGCTTTGCACATCATATTGGGTAGGTATGGTCTGGTATAGTCTGCATGGTTATCATTCACCCTTACCTCATAGACTGTAGGCCTTAATCTTTTTCAGTGCTGACATCCAATAAATTTGGCTGCACATTTGCTTTGTTTGACATTTGAAAACGTTTTGTTTATAAATTGGTGACCTATACTACACACATTATCTTTAACCATGGTATTTTAGAATTAAGTTTTTCTGGCATGGCAGAATGTTTTTCGGGCACCCTCCGTTAAGTACAACAGAAGGTTTAAATATTTTTCTGGCATGCAGTTTTTAGTTTTTTACACTCTTAAATGCATCTTATGAGCTTAAAAAGTTGCTATTGACTAAGGATATTTTCTGAGAGCACTGATATAGAACTTATTGGGTGCTTTTGCAGCTGCCAGTATCATTTATATATACAATTGAGGGATTGGGGTTTGCAATTACATATATAAGATACTTGTAGCCCACGGGGAAAATAAACAAAAAGTTTACTGGTGTTGCAGTCGTTACTTTGCTTTAAGAATGTAATTGACTTGCCTTAGTAGTTATGGTAATGGCAGGGAAAGGGCTAAACTGACTGATAGAGTTCAGATACACACACATTTTGAGTGTATATAGAACACCGCAGGAAATATTTAGGGTCTGTATTAACCCACTAGTTTGTATAGGTGTTTGGGGCAGGGTAGGTGGTTTAAGCACCTAGAGGAAACTCGTACAAACTGTGGAAGAAATTACAGTCTTTAGAGAAAATTTTCATTGTTGCAGTTCAACCCAAGAACCCCGATACTGAAATGCTAGACTGCTGAGATTTATTCTGGCCTTCCTGCCATTGTGATAATACCATTGGCTAATATTAATCACCGGTATCCACTCAAAATTGTTCAAGCCCAAAAATGTCAAGAATGTTTCGTATGGTTTGAACACTTAATTTACCCAGTTATATCCACAGAGTAATTTTTTCTCTTTGGGGACAGTGTTCAGATTTGTACAGTACCTAGGATACTTATTGCACAGCCAAAAACAAAATGTCAGATTTAATGAGCCTTAAGGGTAGGTTTCTGTTGGAGGCTAGAGACCACCCAAGCCCAACATCTCTGGCTGCATGTACCAAAACATGAACAGGGGGTACACCGGACCCCCTACAAGCAATGCTCCTGGTGTACACACTTTGCTAAGCATAGTGGAATTCATAACATGCAATATTTGTGTTTAACATTGCATTTGGAAAAATGGACAACTGCACTATTTAAATTCCCTGCCTCTCTCTGGCTAGTCATAGACAGGCAGATGGGTTAGTAATGTTAGGGCTCGTTGTTTGCTCTGTGCTTCTTTTGTACCCCCTGCAAGTCAGTGTTAATGTAAAAGGGAATCAGAGTAGCTTGAAATAACTCACTAAGCAACTCAAAGCAAGTCAGAGGAACTTAAAAGTACCGTAATTCATGCTTCATTTTTAAATCTAACTCCTGGGTACATGAACACTTCCACCCAACATATGAAAACGTCTATTTGCCTATAAGAACACTTAAAGAAGAACTCTGTGCAGAAGAAAACTTAACCCCTGCTGTGGGGCTACCCCCGCACTGCAAGGTTTAAGTGCTTGTTTTCATCTACGGTCTAAGACCCCATTCACACTGAGCGACATGCAAATCGCGCGACTTTGAGCGACGTGTCGCACGACTTCTTCCTATTGGGCTGTATGCAATCAGGAGCAATATCGCTCAAAATCGCTCTAAAAAAGGGTCATGTAGAAGCGACAAGCTACCAGCGACGAGCTACAAGCGATATTGAGCGATATTGAGCGACATTGAGCGACGAGATGTGAACAGCTACATTGAATTGTATTGGTGAAGCTACATAGAGCGATATAGTGCGGAAATATGAGCGATATCGCTACAAAAATCGCGCGATAAATCGCTCAATGTGAACGGGGCCTAAAATAACATACTTGCCCACACCTCAGTTGCAGCTGACTGCTAGACCAGTCCCCTGCAGCCTCTCCCCCTCCGGCGATGGAATGTCCCTCGGCGTCATCATGTCCAATGCATTGTATTGGATGTGATGACTCACAGGTTCTTAGACCGCCAGAATGAAGGGGGAGAGAGGCTACAGTGTTCGTTCTAGCAAGCAGGCAGGGCCACGATTCAGGTCCGTATATCTTTTATATTTTAAACCCTAGATGAAAATGAACACCTAACCCTTGCAGTGCAAGGGTAGCACCACTGCAAGGGTCAAGTTTTCTTCTGCCTAGAGTTCTTTAAAATATCATGGTAATGTGTACAAATACTTAATTTATCACTTTTTGTACTTGTGCCTTTTGAGAAGGTTTTTTATCTGAAAAGCCAAAATTTGCACAGCTAATTGTTTTATGATGTGATTTGATTAAACAAGCAGATACAGCAGAGGATTCGCCATAATAAGTAAATGTAAATTCTGTCATTATTGGCACAAGGGTCAGTGTCTTTCGTGCTTTTAGAAATAAGATTTTTCTTTGTTTTCTACATAGGTGATTCTCAGCCCTTGGATGTTAGTTCAGTTCATGACCAAAAAACATTATTGAAGTACACAGTTTCATTATTGGGTTATGGTTTTTATGGAGATGTCGTGAAAGGCAGTGAAAAGAATAGGTGGCTGGGCCCTGCCAGATACGATTTTTCAGGTAAAGTAACACAGGACATTATTTACTATTCTATACGTTTTAAGAGTTGTTTGGTTTTTTTTGCATTATACTAACCACTTCAGGAAAATAATCTAATTTCTCCATCGTTAATGAAGGAACACAGCACAGGATATTTAATACATGTGGATTATGCTGCCACCTATAGGAGAATTTGACAAATTTATGAAGCCTCGGTTATACTTAGTTTTCTAAGTTTGTAGGATGTGTCATGCCAGGGCTGCTTGCTCAAGCAAGCAATTTTTTAAGAGTAAACCCTTTAAGACAACTTTATACGAGTCCACATCAAGTTTACAAACTTGACATTTGGACTTACCAATATGCACCCCCCCCCCCCCCCAAAC